CGTTTGTGATTAGGTGCATATCTAAGTCATTCTATAAATCTCAAGTGCCAAGGTTGTGTATACACCCTTGTCGAACAGTATTATTTCGGTCGTTTTTTTCCACTTTTCTTCTTCTGTTACTTGAAATAATGGTTGTTTATCGATTTAAAAAAAAAATGGATTGCCTGATGTTTATAGTTGTTGTTGTTTTGATCACTCCGTCAGGCGGACTGACATGTAGATACTCCGCATATTCTATGTAATATTTAAAATATTAGCGGAAGACCTTTACGAGCATTTAAAAAAGTTTTAAAGCTCATAAAGGTCGGACGGGAATATTTTATATTGCTCATCAAATTCTGGCATAAGCTGAAGCATATCTTTCAAAAAMAAATCAAGATAAAATATCATTTTTATAAAATAAATTTGAAATTAAAGTCGTATGCAAACCAGGACAAATCTTTTGCTCATAGCGAAGATGCGCGGTCACGGCAATAATTTTACCTTATGAATTATTAATGAATTTGACGATGATTTAAATACAGCATTCTCTGGATGAACCGAAACTTTATGGCATCTGGAGCAGTGTTAAATCACTGGAAACCGTGGTCCAGAAAAATCCTACATTTGGATATCTCTCTATACAAAACAATCAGCACGGTTGTGACGGTGAAGGATGTAAAGACACAGCAAAACATTACCAAAGACAACAACACTGATTCAACAATGGYAAAAGTAAGTCTATTTCTTGATGCAGTTTTTTTTCCTTGTTCGGTTTTTTACTGGTTCAATCGACATTGGATGCAAGGACGCGGCATTTTGGAATGGACTTGCAGCCACGTGCATCCAGAAACTTGCTGGTTTGGTTGTTTCTTAACTACAGATGATCTCATGTAATAAAATTGTGCCAGCCGAATAGAATATCAAGGGTTCTTTGGATGCAAGCGGTTTCAAGTCAAAATAGACCATTTTTGTGTTAAAAACGCATGGTGTAGCTAATTTAACTAACCAATCAATTTTGTTTTTTGTTTTGGTCGGAATTATGTACTTTGTGAATTAAGATTTTGTTCTGTTAGCACAGCAAAACGATTGTTAGACTGACTGAAATTGATGGGAAATTTTATCTGATCGATTCTAAAAAAGCGCTAAAGTTAGATCGTTGACGTTGTTAGTTAGTTGTTCGATGTTCCAAGCTAAAAATCACTAATTTCACGTATGTTTTCAAGGGAAATCAAACGATTAGTAAGCAGACARCTGGGAATATTACCTGTCATGGTATTTTCGTTGGATCAGAGGTACGACACCGTTATCGCTTTTTTATAGTTTTCATTACTTCATGTTCGATTAATAACTTTCGGGTTTTCTTTCAAGCAATTTGACCAGACATATGAGATGTCTGGATTTCCGCTTTTTTTTATGCAAATAATTAGTGATTAGTGAATCTAATTAACATATGAGATGTTTTCATAAAAAAGACTCGAATTTTCAGAAAATATTTCCGTTTTATTTGAAAAAAAAAATAGAATCTATTTATGTACAGATAAGATAATACAAACAGACCAATTTTCTAAAAAAGTGAGTTTTTGTGAAAACAATACAAATGTTAATTAGCATGTAAATCGCTAATTACTTCCATAAAATACAATTCTAAAATATCATAGTATAGGTAAGTGAATTGCTTCAGAAGTTGTTTGCGTTTAGGTTTGAATTGCTTGAAAGAAGCCAAAGTTATGAGTCGAATATCAAAGAACCGATTTGGCAGTTTGCAGGTGATGATTGACCTAAATGGAATACGCTTATAGTGAGCCGCTTAAAATTCATTAACTGTTTCTATKCATCAATTTTCAAAAGCAAAATCGCTCCCGAAATTCGACGTACACTAAAGTCAAGATAACATTAATGAAACCAGTGCTCAACAACAAACAAAAATTCCTCGAAATTGGTTTGATGGCCGCCGCAACGGTTACTATGGTGATGTCAATGATCGTTATGTCGTATCTAAGGTAAGTGTAATTGAATTCCCAGGGTCGAATGAATTTTAGACTGAACACAGTTAGAGTGATCGCACTTAATCTGTGCAACTGTACAAACTAAATAGTGCTATTTAGTTGTATTGTAGTAAACCGTGCATGCGGTACGCAAATTAAATTGAATTGATACAAATGAAGCATTCAATACCGTCTTGCTTCAGGTCAACTTTTAGTACAAATTAATACTACTTAGATTTTGTACAGTTGCACGCTTTAAGTGCGATTACTCTAATGTGTGAAATTGTACAAAATCACACAAATTTGAACTAATTTTGCAACTGAAGAGGAACATTGCTTGAAT